AGTCCTTTCCTTTTTCACTTAAGACATCTCTCAACATCTCTCAACATCTCTCAGACATCAAATGGACTATAGCCAGGGTAGCAACACTTCAAAAATATTTGAGAATCCCCTCTCTTGCCTGATTTACAAAAAAAAAATACTAAGATACCCAGTTAAAGTTGAGATAAAGAATAAACTTTTAATATAAGCATGTCCCATGCAATATTTGGAAAATACTAAAAAATTATTTATTGTTTACTGACATTCAAATTTAACTGGACATCCAATATTTTAATTCGCATCCCTACAGAGGGTAGATATCCTAATGTTTTCCTAAGTCCATCTAGTGCTTTACAGTCTAAATTTCTTTGAGTTTTGCTCCTAATTTAACCCCTGAATGTTATGTTTGTAACAACTAATACTGCCTTTGCATGAAATGTAGTGGATGTTGTGTGCCCACCTACACACAACTCCCTTTAGTTGTGAGAATATAAGAACAGAAATGACTTCGCTTGAGAAACCCAAGCTAGTTATTTTTCTCTTTTGCAATATTTTATTATATATTTCAAAGATACATATAAGCAAAGGTAGTGATATAATGCATTGCACACAATTTATTTACAGGCTAGTCAATTTTTTCTTGTTCTTTGGTTGGGCAGGTAGGCGGGTGGGTATGGGTTTTTATACCACCATCCTTATTTAAGTCAGTGGTTTTGAACCATGGCTGCACATTACAATCACCTGGAGAGCTTTTACACTCTCCATCCCTGCTTGTCTCCCTGACCAATTAAATCAGAATCCCTGGCTGTGGAGTCAGCATTAATAGTGGTTAAAGCTGCCAGACGATACCAATGTGCAGCCAGGGCTGAGAACCACTTCCCTAAATGAAAATGGGAAATTCAAAGAACCATTTTTACTGCTAAATCATGCCCTTATATTTCAAACTTCTTTTCAAAATTTATTATCATTAAGCATATTATATTAAAACTTACTATATTTATTATATTAAAGCACATCATATATTATAAAGATCACCTTTTTAAAAGGATTTTATATGATTTTAATCATGTCACTGATTCATTATTAATTTTCTAGAAGTGTATAAATTAGCTTTGGTTTTCAATTTTTTGTGTGTGATTTTCTCATGTCTTTTTCATATGTACTTTTCTGTCTCAGGTTATAAATAAATGGTTCTTAACTCTCATTAGAATCATCTGCCCCAGTGTGGCTCAGTGGATTGAGCGCTGGCCTATGAACCAAAGGGTCACTGGTTTGATTCCCACTCAGGGCACATTCCTGGTTTGTGGGCTGGGGCCCCAGAAAGGGATGTGTGAGATGCAACTATACATTGATGTTTCTCTCCCTCTCTCCTTCCCTCCCCCTCTCTAAAAATAAATAAATAAAGTCCTTTTTTAGAAAAAGAATCGTCTTAAGATGCTTTTTTAAAAATCCTCACCCAAGGATATATGTTTATTGATTTTAGAGAGAGAGGAAGGGAGAGAGAGACATCCATGTGAGAAAGAAACATCAATCTGTTGCCTCCCTAATTTCCCTGACTGGGGATAGAAACCACAATCTTCTTGGTATACAGGGTGATCCTCCAACCAACTAAGTTACCTGACCAGGGCTTAGGATGCTTTTAAAAAAAATTTTTCTGACATCTCCTGCTGGAGGCTCTGCTCTAATTAGCCTGGTGTAGAGCCCAGATATTGTTGTTTTATAAAAGATGCTGGGTTCAGGTGGAGTTAAAAGCCAGTATTTTTATATATGTCAAATATACACCTACCTGATCATCTGAATTTCCTAGGGAACTTTCAAAATGTATATCTGCCCTGACTGGGTGGCACAGTTGGTTGGAACATCATTCTGTACACAAAAGGGTTGTTTCCATTCCCAGTCAGGGCACATATCTAGGTTGCAGGGTTGATCCCCTGTTGAAGTGCATTTGGGAGGCAACAAAAGGATGTTTCTCTCTCTCTCTCATTCTCTCTCTCTCTCTCACTTTCTCACAGACACACACACTCTAGCTCTCTCTTTAACACTTTCTTTCTCCCTTCCTCTCTCTCTAAAATTAATGAATATATCCTCAGGTGAGGATTAAAACAAAGAGACAAACAACAACAAACCTATACATCTAATTGACTTGCTTAATAAAGTCAAAGGAATTTTTAGAGGTTCTAGGTGGAGAAATGAGGGGTTGACAAATGGCCTTCAGAGTAATGAGTATAAATGAGGAATTCCTGTTGAAGTGCCAAAGTACTTTGGGGAATAAGGATAAGGATGTCTAATATCTTAGAAATATTTTACTTCCTCTGCTACACTTCAATGTAAACTTATTCTGTAGCTTGGAAATCTTCAGAAAATGCTGCCACTCCTAGGTGCACTGATGCATGTCCACATCCACATGTAGTGAATGCCCACTGCCCAGCCCCCACCCTTGGAAATCCTAATTCAGGAGATTCAGAGTAAGTCCCCAACACCAGCACTTGAAACCTTTCCCAGGACCATTGTCATGAGCGGCCAGCTTTGGTCATCACAATTCGTCCCATTAACAACAGTCATGTGTGGTAGCAGTAAAATCATTGGTGAAACTGAGGTTTTGCAACTTGGGGAAAAAAACTAGAGTCTGATTCTTACTAGGCCTCCCTCAGATCTACCTGGTCTTTTTTCTGTTTGAGTGTCTGTATAAAGAAAGAAATGACCTTTCTAAAATAGGAAAGAAGAAGACCAAGGAGGAAGTGTCTTGAAGAAAATAATACGGTAAAAGTGTTTACAATAGACTTAATCTTCTGCTCAGTGATATAACAGAGAGGAAACCTGGCATACATTATCAACAATTATGAGGCACCAACCCAAACATTTCATTCGTTCAGCAACTCCTGAGTACCTACTAAGAGACGAGGACTGAGCTAGACCCTGGGAATTTAGGGTATGGTATTGCCTCGAGGAATTCACAATCTAGAAGAGGAGACCAATAATACAGTGGGGGAAAAATGGAAAATTATATGAAGTAGAGACTACAGACACAGTCGGGGGGGTAGGGGGGGCAGAGGTGAGGGGAGACTTCAGAGAAGCAGAAGACCAAACCAGGCTTTTGAAAGATACAATGATAAGGTGTGGGGTAAATGGAAGGAGAGTGAAGGTAAAGAAATGGTATTTCTTAGAGTGAACGGAAATCCAAGTGTGAAAGAGTTCCTGAATTACAAACAGTTCTACTACACTGTCACATAATGTTTTGGAGGATTTGGGGGCAGGCACAAGGCAAAGTGGTAGTGTTGCCATGTGTCAAACTCCATTCACACACATCAGCCCAGTTATTCCTAGATATTATGATGTTCCTAGAGTGGCCATAGTTAGATGAGAGAAGCCAACCAGCTTTGTTAGCCTACAACAAAAGACATACAATCTTCATTTGTCAGATTCTGCTGCAAAAATCCTCATCCTCCAGACTAATCTTTTCATACCATCCTGATTGGTCTTTGGTTGCATTTGCTGCTAGAATTCTTTTTTATGTTAGATTCCTAAATTTTCAACTTCCCTATACATAAACATTTATTTTTGCATAATAAATGTTCTCCAGTGTTCTGTGGTTGGTCACAAGAGCCTGATTTCATCATGAATGTAATTTCAGTTTGGTGAAAACCTAACTTTTCACCATAAGGAGTTGTATTAACCAACACTGGAAACTCCCACACTCTGGTGGTCACCGCATAGGCACCCAACTGGTAACTCACACTCACTCCTCTTCTATTAATGTGCTTCAGTTGGGAACAATGGTTTTAGACGTTGTTGTGCACTTAATTTGTTATTATCAGGTATGTTGTTCAAATACACAGACAAAGGGTCACATAACAAACACCAGTTTACTTACCACACGGTTTAACAGCATCTTAACATTTTGCTCTCTTTGTGCCAATTCATTTTTTTACAAACTGAAACTTTGAAGATGCAGTTTGTTAAAGCTCCCTATCTCTTCCAAACTTCACTCCCCTTCTCCGCAAAGGTAGCACTATCCTCCTCTTAGTATTTAGCATTGTCATGCATTCTCTGAAACATTTCCTACTTGCATGTATGTCTATAAACAACACCTCTTATTGATTTATAAGTTTTTATACTTTGAATAACTGTATCCTCAAAGTATCCATCTGTGCCTTGCATTTTTATTGAAATTAAGCGTTTGAGATTTATTGATGATTACACAGATTTAGTTCATTTGCGTTAAGTACTACATAACATTCAATTTATTACCCTACCAAAATATATTTTTATTGCATACAGGTAGATATTTGGGTGTTTTCCAATTTTTTATGATCATAAAGCTATAGTGAACATTTTTATACCCATGTCCATGTGTTCAAACATATTGGGTTTTTATTCTTAGTCATTTATTCTGCTCATATAAATAGTATTTACCATGTAACAAAAAAAAAGATCAACCATCCTAACAGTCTTACACATGTCAACATATTCAACTTTAAAACATATTATAATATGTCCCCCATGAAGACATGTAAGCCACACCTCTGCACCATAATTTAATTTAAGGTGTAATCAAATGTGAATACAGAATTAGAAAGAAGGCTAATACCTTCAAAATCCTGGAGCCAGTTTAAGAACTGACCTTGCCCCTTTTTCTGTGTTCTTGACATATAAGTAGTCAGAGTTGGCTTGATTCACAATTCCCCTGGAGCTGGATCCAACTGACTCTAATATTTAGCTAGAATTGAATATCAGTTTTGTTAAAAGTGTGCATATTACCCACTGATTGCCCTGTGGGCAGTTTGATTTTTATTGATTTGATTTCACTTATTAGTGCCTACTATGTACAGATCACCATGCTAGGTGCTCTGGTGTGTCCAAAGATGAAGACCTCTTTAGAAGGACTTAGAAGACCACAGGAAGAGATGCTCAAGAACAGTCATCAGTTGAATTTTGGCATCTGAGGTAGAGTTTTTATTTCCTCCCTAGTGACACTCGGGAAATGCTTGTCTCATGCTGTTGGTGAATAATTTCTGAGTACTATGGATCATACTGAAGAGAATGAAATCCTTGCAGCAACCCAGAGGTTCTGTGTGGACAGGCCGGTCTTCAGTCATCTGGTCCTCCAGGAGAGGCTACACAAGAAGGACAAGATTCCAGATTCCATTGGGGATAAGCTGAAACAGGCATTCACGTACGTTGTGTTTTAATCTGTTGCCTTTATTCCTGTCATTCCTTATGAAAGAAGCAAGATAAATTTATAAGGAAAACCTGGTGAAATGGAGAAAAAAATGAATGGTGAGCACTCATGATTTGCAGAACTGTCCACAGGGTTCAGGCAGTGATAGATATTTGACTGAGCATGGGCTTTATTATGTATTTCACCATATTTATTAAGTTCTTACCATGCCTTGGGGATGTATGTGTAAAAGTTTATATAAGTAACCTGCTTTCCATTTCTCTAACACTTTCAGAATATCCACCTCTTCCCTTTGTCTCTCAGAATGCTCCAACCACTCTCTTTTTTCTACCCTCAACTTCTACCACATTCGGCAACAGCCTGAATCTAGGTCCCCAAACTGAGGTCCCTGTGTTCTATGACTCTTAATTCCAGAGACACTTACACAGCCATGTTGCTGGCCAGAAAATGTTAATATATGTGTGCCTGTTGATAGCTCCCAAACTTCGAAACCAAACCATTTGATTATCACCTCCTGAACCCTTGAGCCCACACCTTCTGTGTTCTGTGTTTATTTAAGCTTCATAGTGGCCCTGTGCTCAAGGTATAATCACCAGGAGAGGTGAAAAATGTATATACTGGAGTCAAACTGTATGAGCTTTAATCATAGCCCCAACCACCTACCAGCTGTATGCTTGAGTTTCCTGCTCTGTAAAATGGGGGTAATAATACTTACATCATAGAGTTGTTGGGGGTTAGGCATATGGCAAGCACTTTATAAATGTAGCTATTATTAATATCTCAATTTTCTAAATAACATACCAAATCTAGTTTGTTTCACTCAAATTCATTGCTCTTGCCTCAGATGCCTCAGGTTTTGTTTTCAATTACCAGCTACTCTTAACCACTAAAGATGCTATGTAAAATACCATGATATCATCTATGCTGCAATAATGTATTATATTTTGAATGGAATGAATTACTTCCTTGAGGATTTAAGGTTTTCGGAGTGGCAATGGAATTCATCTATCCATACCCTTACTCAGTGATGTCTTTGATTATTGGCATAGTCTGGCCAAAGGACTGGCCAAGGCCCAGAACATGGTCTATGTATCAAAGTTAATTGAACCCATAGGGATTAAATGCAAGGCCTTGGTTTTATCAGCTTGGTGTTCCACCTAACCAAGAAAACAAGACGTAATAGATTCAGCTACTAAACTCCATTGACAAATGGTGTTTTGAGTTTACCTAATCAAAGACCCTAAAGCAATGGATATATATTAATAAAGCTCAGAATATGTGCATAAATCTCCTTTATTTTATAAGGAAGGGGGAAACTAAATGGGCAGATGCTGGTCAGTGGTTCCATATTCAAGAATTAACTCATTCAGTAAATAATTGCCCTACTTCTCTTTTATACCAATACAGGAACTACAGTAAGGATTTCATCTATTAAAATAATAGCTTCTTCCCCTGGCTGGATGGCTCAGTTGGTTGGAGTGTCATCCCATGCTCCAAAAGGTTGCAGGTTCGACCCCCCAGTTAGGGGCACATACCTAGCTTGCAAGTTCAATCCCCTGTTGAAGCACATATGGGAGGCAACTGATAGATGTTTTTCTCTCTCCCTCCCTCTGCTCCTTTCCTTCCTCTTTCTCGAAAACCAATAAAAATATCTTTAGGTGAGGATTAAAAAATAGCTTCTGGGTCTACAGCCATACCACCCTGAATGCTCCCAATCTCATCTGAAAAAAATAGCTTCTGGGTTGTCTCAATTCATCTGAAGCTGAATCTTTCTTATTTTTCAAAGTCAGTTGTAGAGTATTATTATGGAGTCAGTTTAGATGTTCCCAACAACGCAAAATTGCAAGAAGCAGTTCTTCTTGTCTCTGATCTCTGCAGAATGAAAAGGTTATCCTCAGCACCAGTGGTGAATGTTTTCCTTATCATTCCAGGATATAAGGAAGGGAAAATCCCTTGGTTTAAAGTCTACGGAAATGTTCCTCATTTTTTTCTCTTTCTTTGTCCTCCCAGATGTACTCCTAAGAAAATAAGAAATATCATCTATATGTTCTTACCCATCACTAAGTGGCTGCCAGCATACAAATTCAAAGAGTACGTGCTAGGTGACTTGGTCTCAGGCATAAGCACTGGGGTGCTGCAGCTCCCTCAAGGTCAGTATATTTACTTATCTCTGTTTGTTTCTCTTAATTGCCATCTCCTCAAACAATTGCTTGACTTTTTCTCTGTTTAATTTCATCATGATTGCAAATTTATAGATTTTGTATTATTCCAGTAAACTTTACCTGTCTAAAAGAATTCTTCAGAAAATGTAACCTTTAAAAAACCCCTGAGATAGTAGTAGCAGAATATAGTGATATTGTTTTGTATATCAGTCCGGGTGGGAACTAGCTGGGTTACTCAGTCACTCTGTGAAATGTTGTTGGCATTGTCATGATGAAGGTTCTTGATGACAAGTTCATATTCTGATGACAACAGACCATGAAACACTGAATTCCTCTGCATTTGTGTGATTGTGATATGTGATATAAGAATTTAAGAACATCTCAGTAATTTATTCATGTAGTCACACTTGTTTATCAAGCATCTGCCCAGCCCTGCCTGTCCTTATAGAACTAACTCTCGAATCAGGAAGAGAGACGTGAAGCAAATAAAAGTACGTGTAAAATTTTAATTACAAATGATGTTAAACACTAGGATGGAAAATGCAAGGCACTATGAGATAATCACAGGAAGAACTAATTTAAGTAGGCAAATCGCACACACACACACACACACACTCTTTAGCCCCAACTGGTGTGGCTCAGTGGACTGAGCAATGGCCTATGAACCAAAGGGTCTCTGGTTTGATTCCCAGTCAGGGCACATGCTTGGGTTGCAAGCTAGGTCCCCAGTAGGGGCCATGCGAGAGGAAATTGATATTTCTCTCCCTTTCTTTCTCCCTCCCTTCCTCTGTCTAAAAATAAATAAAATCTTAAAAAAACTCTATAAGGAAATGAGATTTGAGCTGTGACCTAAAGGAGGAGGCAGATAAAGAATGAGAGGAAATGCATTTCAGGCAAAAAGAATAGCATGTGTGAAGGCATTTGGCAGGAAAAATATTGGGTGTTTGAAGACTTGCTTTGAAAATTAAAAGAAAGAAATTGTTCTTGGAGCAAAGTGGGCAGGGGCATGTCTACCCAGCCTTGTAAGCCACTATTGGATTCATTCTGACTACAGTGAAAGCTATCAGCATGCTTTTCACTGAGATTGCCATTTTGAGACAGATTTAGTTGGTGGGAAGGGTACCAGAATGAATGTGGGGAGATCAATTAGAGGTGACAATGACTGAGTATAAGCAAAGGTGATAATGGCTCCAACTGCCTCTAGGTCAGCTGGCCAAAAATCTATTCCCCTCTCTAATTTCCCAAAAATTAATTATCAAATGATCAATTGTCAAAAAATCACATCCCCTAATGATCATGTGGCTGAGTTATAAACTTTCCAAGTGTCTGATTTACCAAATCTACTGAATCTATTAAATAAAAGCCTTAAGTCAGGTTTAGGACAGTTTTCCATAGCCACTTGGGGACCAACATCCCAATGATAGAGAAAGACAGATTCAGAGGCAGAGGTGAGAGCAGGGAGGGAGCAAAGGGGCCCAGCATCCGACACAGGAAACAAATTAACTGACATTCAGCCCAGCTGGACTGACAAGGCTACAGGAAATGACTGCAGTTAATCCATGCAAAGTAATACTGGGAGGAAATCTTCAGGATTTAGCCTAGTTGGGTTTTCACTAGAATGCCATTTCAAATTTCTCTTTGACCTGTTAGCCTTCTTCCATCATAAACTAGAGTGATGGTTGTAAAAATGGAAGGAATTGTAGAGATACATGCTATATTTTATGCCAAGATTAGCAAAACTGGCTATTGCAATGATTTGGAGGAGAATAAGGAAACAAGATGTGTCAAGAATTACTTTAAGGCAGACTTCCAGCCAAGATGGAGCTGTAGGTAGACACACTATGCTTCCTTGTACAACCAAAATAAAGACAACAAAAATTTAGAAACAAAAAAAAACAACTAGTACTGACAGAAAATTGAACTGTATGGAAGTCAGACAACCAAGGAGTTAAAATAGACACATTCATCCAGACCAGTAGGAGGGGCAGAGTCAGGCAGCCGGGTGTAGAGGGGTGGCAGCAAAAAAAGCAGTGGCTGGTGGATCCCGGGCATGGGGTGGCAGCAGGCAGACCCAGCGAGGCAGTGATTGTGAAGCAGGGCACAGCACGCAAGGTGGCTGGCTGGCTGACCAGGTGGGCCCACATTCACCCACATTCACACACAGATAAACCAGGTGAAACTGGGAAGCAAGACAGACCATGCAACCCAAGGCCCCAGTGCAGGGAAATAAAGCCTCAAAACACCATTTGAAAACACCTGTGGGGGCTGAGGCAGCAGTGGGAGAAACTCCCAGCTTCACAGGAGAGTTCATGGAGAGACCCACAGGGTGCTAGAACATACACAAACCCACCCACATGAGAATTGGCACCAGGGGGGCCCAGTTTGCTTGGGGGAAGTGGTGGAAGGGACTGAAATCCAGCACAAAAGAGAGCAAGCAGCATTGTTCCCTCTCAGACCACTCCCCCACACACAGTGTCACCACGCAGTAACATGGGTTACCCCACCCAGGTGAACACCTGAGGCTCCGCCCCTCACTATGTAACAGGCACGTCAAGACAAAAAACATGACCCAAATGAAAGAACACATCAAAGCTCCAGAAAAAATACAACTAAGTGACAAAGAGATAGCCAACCTATCAGATGCACAGTTCAAAGCACTGGTGAGCAGGATGCTCACAGAACTGGTTGAATTTGGTCACAAATTAGATGAAAAACTGAAGGCTATGCTAAGTGAAATAAAGGAAAATGTACAGGGAACCAATAGTGATGAAAAGAAAACTGGGACTCAAATCAATAGAGTGGACCAGAAGGAAGAAAGACACAACCAAACAGAAAAGAATGGAGAAACAAGAATTCAAAAAAATGAGGAGAGGCTTAGGAACCTCCAGGACATCTTTAAATGTTTCAACGTCTGAATTATAGGGGTACCAGAAGGAGAAGAGGAAGAACAACAAGTGGAAAAGTTATTTGAACAAATAATACAGAACTTCCCCAATCTGGCAAAGGAAATAGACTTCCAGGAAGTCCGGGAAGCTCAGAGAGTCCCAAAGAAGTTGGACCCAAGGAGGAACACACCAAGGCACACCATAATTACATTAGCCAAATTTAAAATGAAAGAGAGAATCCTAGAAACAGCAAGAGATAAGGAAATCCCATCAGACTGTCAGCTGATTTCTCAAAAGAGACCTTCCAGGCAAGAAGGTGGTGGAAAAAAGTATTCTAAGTCATGAAAGGCAAGGACTTACATTCAAGATTGCTCTATCCAGCAAAGCTTTCATTTAGAATGGAAGGGCAGATAAAGTGCTTCTCAGATAAGGTCAAGTTAAAGGAGTTCATCATCACCAAGCCCTTATTATATGAAATGTTAAAGGGACTTATCTAAGAAAAAGAAGATAAAAAAACATGTACAGTAAAATGACAGAAAACTCACAATTATTAACAACCACACCTAAAACAAAAACAAAAACAAACTTAGCAAACAACTAGAACAGGAAGAGAACCACAGAAATGGAGATCACATGGAGGGTTAGCAACAGGGGAATGGGAAGAGGAGAGGGCGGGAAATGGTACAGAGAATAAGTAGCATAAATGGTAGGTAGAAAATAGACAGGGGGAGGGCAAGAATAGTATGGGAAATGCAGAAGCTAAAGAACTTATGACACATGGACATGAACTAAAGGGAAGGAATGTGGGTGGGAGAGGGTGTGGAGGGTGGAGGGGAATAAAGGTAGGGAAATGGGACAACTGTAATAGCATAATCAATAAAATGTATTTTTTAAAAAGTATTACTTTAAGGTTACTGACTTATGAGTTGGGTGTAGGGACAGTGAGGAAGAGAAAAGGTCAAGAATGACTCTCAGATTTGTTATTTAAACACCTGGGGGGTGGAGACATAATATTTGCAGACATAATGATGGAATGTAATTAAAGGGAAGTGTGATCATGTTAAAGTCATGATGCTTGTGAGATGGACAAATGGACATTTCATGTTTATGTTTATATAGTGCACTCAAAAATATGTATGAACTAGAGACACCAATTTGGGAATATTTGACATATGGGTAACATTTAAACCATGGCAATAGACAAAGCCATCAAAGGAGACAATAAACATGTCCTCAAGTGAAGACTCCTAAGTTTATTTTATGGGCCTGCATTATCCTAATTCCAAAACCAAATAAAGACACCACAAAAAAAGAAAATTATAGATTGATATCCCTGCTGAACATAGATGCAAATATCCTCAACAAAATATTAGCAAACTGAATCTAGCAATATGTTAAAAAGATCATACACTATAATCAAGTGGGATTTATTCCTGGGATATAAGGTTGATACAATATCTGCAAATCAATAAATGTGATACATCATATAAACAAAATGAAAGATAAAAATCACATGATCTTATCAATAGATGCAGAAAAAGCATTTGCTAATATCTAGCACCATTTATGATAAAAACTCTCAGCAAAGTGGGAATAGAGGGAATGTACTTCAACATAATAAAGGCTATATACAAAAACCCTACAGCCAATATCATACTCAATGGACAAAAACTAAAAGCTTTAGTTATCCTTAAGCACAGGAATAAGACCAAGATATCTGCTTCCACCTCTCTTATTTAACATAGTACTGGGAGTCCTAGCCCCAGCAATGAGGCAAGAAGAAATAAGACATCCAAATCAGAAAGGAAGAAGTAAAACTCATTATTTACAGATGATGTGATACTGCATATAGAGAACCCTAAAGATTTCACCAAAAATTACTAGAACTGATACTTGAATTTAGTAAAGTAGCAGAATACAAAGGAAATATCCAGAAACCAGTTGCTTTTTTATACACCAATAATAAACTATCAGAACAAGAAACTAAGAAAACAATCCATTTACAATTGCATCAAAAAATAATAATAAAATACCTAGGAATAAATTTAACCAAGGATATAAAAGACCTGTACTCTGAAAATCATGATACACTGAAGAAAGAAATCGAAGAAGATACAAATAAGTGGAAGCATATACCGTGTTTATGGACAGGAAGAATTAACATCATTAAAATGCCCACACTACCCAAAGCAATCTATAAATTCAATGCAATTTCTATAAAAATATCAATGGTGTATTTCACAGAACCTAAAACAAATATTCTAGAAATTTATATGGAAAGACAAGAGACCTCCAAATAGTCACAGTAATCCTGAGAAAGAATAAATTTGAAAGTATCATACTACCCAGTATCAAACTATACTACAAGGCCATAGTAGTCAAAACAGCGCAGTACTGGCATAAAAGCTGACACAGATAAATGGAACAGAATACAGAGCCCAGAAATTAATTCACACCTTTATGGTAAATTAATGTTTGACAAAGGAGGCAAGAACACACAATGGGGTAAAGACAGTTTATTCAATAAAAAGTGTTGGGAAAATTGGATGGATACATACAAAAAAAAAATGAAACTAGACTGCCAATTTATACCATACATAAGAATAAACTCAAAATGGATTAAAGACTTAAATGTTAGACTCAAAGCCATAAAAATCCTAGAAGTAAGCGTAGGCAGTAAATTTCAGATATTTCTTGTAGCAATATTTTTTATCTGACATATCTCCTCAGGCAATGGAAACAAAAGAAAAAATAAGTGGGACTACATCAATGTAAAATGTTTTTGCACAGCAAAGGAGACCATCAACAAAACAAAAGGACAACACACTGAATGAGAGAACATATCCACCAATGATACATCTGATAAGAGGTTAATATCTAAAATTTACAAAGAACTTACACAACTCAACACCAAAAAAAAACAAAATATTCAATTAAAAGATGGACTGAGGACCTGAATAGACACTTTTCCAAAAAGGATATACAGATGGCCAATAGACATGAAAAGATGCTCAACATCACTAATAATCAGAGAAATGCACATTAAAACCACAATGAGATATCGCCTCACACCTGTCAGAATGGCTACCATTAATAAATCAGCAAACAACAAATGTTGGCGAGGATGTGTTCCCTCATGCAGCATTGGTGGAATTGCAGATTGGTGCAGCCACTGTGGAAAACAGTATGGAGTTTCCTCAAAAAATTAAAAATTCAACTACCTTATGACCCAGTGTTTCTACTTCTGGGAATATACCTGAAGAAACCTGAACTACTAATTTGAAAGGATATATACATCACTATGTTCATTGCAGCATTATTTACAATAGCCAAGATTTGGAAGCAGCCCAAGTGCCCATCAGTAGATGATGGACAAAAATGCTGTGATACATATACACAACGGAATACCATTTAGCCATAAAAAAAGAAGGAAATCTTACATTTTGCAACAGCAGGAATGGACCTAAAGAGTATTATGCTAAGTGAAATAAGCCAGTCAGAGAAAGACAAGCATCATCTGATTTCACTTATATGTGAAATCTAATAAAAAATAAATAAACTAACAAAATAGAAACAGACTCATGGATACAGAGAACAGACTGACAGCTGTCAGAGGGGAGGGGGCTTGGCCAGCTGGGTGAAAATGGTGAAAGGATTAAGCAAAAAAAAAGTCATAGACACAGACAACAGTCTGGTGATTAGTAGCGGGTAAGGGAAGTGGGGGAGTCAGAAGATGTTGAAGGGGAGATAAACAGTGCCGGAAAGTCAGAAGGGGACTTGGCTCTGGGTGGTGAACATACAATATGGTTCACGGATGATGTATTATAGAATATACCTGAAAACTATGTAATTTTATTAACTCATGTCACCCCAATAAATACAATAAAAATTTTAAAAGAAAAAAGAAAAGACTTTTTTTAAAAGAAGAAGAACCTGTAAGGGGTGGGGGCTGCGGGTGTGTGTGGTATTACAGAAAGGAAGAAAGTATTTCAAATCAAAACAGAATTATCCGGTAGGTTGTGTATTGCTGAGCAGTATAGGTCATCCCACAATCAAATTTGGATGGAAGGGGTATTTTTCTGCCAATCATTAGTCATTAAAGATAGGTGAGTATGAAAAACAAAATATAGCAACTGATTGATAAATCATTTAAATTAGTAAAAAATATTTTGTCAAAGATGGCACATTGCTGCATGCTTCTATTTCTAATTCATTTAAAATACCCATAGAACCAGGGTAAACAAGGACAAATGGTGTAAATAGCAAGGACAAAGGAAATGGGAAAGGAGACACTGTGGAGCAGTGGGGGAATAAAAGATGCCAACCTATGAACAAGTGACAACTGAATTATCAGAGTGGAGGAATTTGATATTTAGGTGCCTGCCCTCCAGAACATTGGAAAATTGGAGGCTCCAAGTATTGTCAAAGGTGAGAGCCAAGTAAGAGCTAGAAGCAGGGTATTCAGTTGAAAATCTGAATAATAAGTCACACATAGACACTCAGGTCCCCACATCTATACCTTGCAGTGGATGGTGGAATGAAAATATTTTAAGCTGTCCAGAGGATTAAGTAAAAGTCTACACATTGAACTGTCAGCTAACAAAGGCTCTTCCTGGCCTATTCAGCTCTAGAGAGCCTGCAAGAACTGATAGCCCAAGACAGGCAGTGAACTGCTCCTGGAGACAAGAGCTATAGTGATAACCTGGGGGTCCCCAGTGAAGATGCTGGCTGGTCATCCAGTTGCCCTACAATAAAGCCCATCAGTAAACAAAGTGGGCCAATGCCCATGAACCTTCAAGGACAGAAAACCATCCAAACAGAAGGAAGAAACTCTTTGGGAACATAAATAATGGAGAGGACAAAATAAAAAATATTTGTACTACAATGTCCTTAGCAAGATATAAAAACATATTGAATCCATGAATCAAGAACAGGACACAATTTTTAAAAGAACTTTCAGAGAATAAGAAGAGCTCATAGAAATTAAAAATATGATAGCTGGAGTGAAATATTCAGTCCAAGGGTTAGTAGATAAAGTAGAGAGAATCTCCCAGAGGTAGAAGAAAAAGATAAATAAATGGATAATAAGAGATAAATTTCAGAGGCTCGATACTGTTGTTCTTTCATATATCTACTGGGAGTTCCAGAAAGAAGAGGGTAAACGGAAGAGAAGAAATTGTGAAAGAATAGTCTCAGAATTGAAATACATGAGTTTTCAGACTGAAGGCAATACCAGGAACCCAGCAAACTAAGTGAAAAATTACTTAAAATAGTGCACACCATAGTAAAACATCAGGATACCAGGGATAAATAGATCCCAAAGCTTTCTAAAATGAAAAAAAAATGTCACATAAGTATGATATAACTAAGGGGAAACTGAAGTGATACACAAAATAGAAAGTCAGTAGTTTGTCTAAGACCTTCAAACTAAGAAATATGATCTAAATATATTATTTAGAAAAATTTCAACCCCACACCATGTATATTACATTGTCATGGGGGCTGCCCTGTGCCCAGTAAGGTGTTCAGCAGCATCCCTGGCTTCTGCCTGTGAGATGCCAATAGCGACCCTTGTCCCCAGTCATAATAATAAAATGTCTCCATACATTGTCAAATGTCCCCTGGGGGCAAAACCTCTCCATTGAGTACTGCTGATTTAGAAAAATGGAAATAAATGATAGAAAAACATCTAAGAGAGTTGGAGGTGAGTGCGTCTGTGGGTGAACTGTGGAGGTCAGGCAGAAGAGTGCCAGCTCTTCCTTGGAGCCTTGTCATACTGCTTTGCTTTTTTTTTTTTTAACTAGAGATATGAGTTTCTTTGCAAGAGATAAAATTTGTTTTTTAAAGAAGACAACATCCAAGTGTCTATAGTATTACATGTGAAACAGGAATGCTTTCTGACTTTTTTTGCTAAAATTATTTTTTTAGTAACATGACACTGAATTATGTGAATTTTCTAGTTATCTCAGATGTTTGGGTGAGGCCCCAAAGCTGAGAACAAAAGGTATTTATCGCGTCCACATTCTGAGGAGGAATTCCAGACCATCTATGCAAAATTATGAGTGAGAGAAAGGTTGCTATTTAGAAGCAAAATGAGGATTTTCTAGAGGTGAAATCCCTATACATTTCCTCTCCATCTAAAATCATGGAAGGAAGGAAGCACTGCAAGAGAACCACTCGGCTGCTGGACATGTGTCCTCCGGAGTTTGTGGGAACTGTTCCCTAATTCTCGCAAGGAAAAAAAAGTCTACAAGTAAAAGGGTGTGAATTGCCTATTACAGCAGAGTAAAGAGAGAGCCCTCCAGTGGGTATGGCCTGCACTTCCAAATTTTCTTGGGTTAAAGTGCAAAGCTTTGCCTTTGGATAACTGAGGGCCCCGAAGGTTACCAGGCTTGGCTCATTTGAAAGGTACCACCCAAGAATACAGCCTACAGGATGAGCCTGGATGCAATATAAGAACCTGGGACCTGTAAGGGCTGTATTCCCTGGCTTTACGCTGGCCAGGGAAGTGGTACAGGGGCAGTTCCTTATTGAAAGAACCCACAAAATCACCCCATTAGAGAAACAGCCAGCATTTGGGCATCAACACTAGATTACAATTGTGCCAGTCAAGTAAGACTTCCTACCCTTATCTAAAGTTGGAGAAGAATAAAGCAGAAAAAAATCTACCTCCTGGCATAGAGGACATGACAAGAGAAACTCTCAGCCTGGACCCTCTAAGCACAAATGTAGGATTATGTGTAGGTTCAGGGCGGAAGGGCCTGCCAGTTAGGAAGACACACCTGCTTAAGTTAACACGATGTTCACTTGTTTGTCAGAGATAAAGAACCAATAGAAAAATACATATGAACCTGTTTTCTAATGACCTCCCGTTTCTCTTTGGTATTTAACCCCACAGGTTTAGCCTTCGCAATGTTGGCAGCTGTGCCTCCGGTGTTTGGCCTGTACTCTTCATTTTACCCTGTTATCATGTATTGTTTTTTTGGAACCTCCAGACACATTTCCATAGGTAAAAGCTGATACTTTATATTTTAGTCCCTTTCCTTTTGGATTTCTAAGTTTTGCGATGTGCCCAAAAAGTCGTGTGTTTGTTATTAGAACATCTGCTTAATGATAACTTGCTTAATAATATTAAAATTGCTTAATAATATTAATAATAATATAAAGCAATAATTTGGTTAATAACTTACTACATACTCAATAGGTGCTTTTAAAAAATACACTCCCATCAATATTTCTAGAACTAATGGCTTTCTTATAATCTTGGCATGATGAAAAAAAGACAATTTCATTATGTAAGAAGAGCAATTGATAAAATCTGTGAAATAAGTGCTTTAGTTCATAAATTTGCTAGCATCTGGTTTTTCTTTCTATTTATTTTATTAGTGGTACTGCAAATTCCTAATTACTGTACATGTATTGCATTTTCATCTGACTTTAGGCTCTAAATTGTACATGGATTCCCTTTAGTGTATTTAGTATCAGATTTATGTGGATTTTACAAGTGTTGGTGCTGCATGGGGCTGCCACCAGCAAACACAGGCACAGTGTTTCAGATGTCTGTCCCTAGGTAAGAAATACCCCCCAAATTTAGCAGTTTAAAACAAGAATCATTTTGTTATGGGTCACAGCTCCTGTGGGCAGGATCTGGGAAAGGCTTATCTGGGCAGTTCTGGCTCAGGGTCTCATGCAGTCGAGAGTCAGAAGGGAGGTGGGACTGGAGCAGCTGCAGGAAGCCGGAATCTCTCTCTCTCTCTTGTTCTTTCTCACCCTCTCCTCTTCCTCTTGCTTCCCCTATCTCCCCCCTGGTCTCCCCTCTCCCTTCTCTACAAGTGGTCCTAATTGGAGCTTTCTCACACTCAAGGCTGCCACACAAGCAAGTCTAACAGCTCTCAGATGAAAGCTTCATCACCTTTTGTTTCCTAGCCTCAGAAGTTGGCAGTATCACTTCTGCTGCATTCTTTCAATTACCAGTATGTTTCATTCAAGTCCTCCCAGATTCAAGGAGAGGGGATTAAGAGTTAGTCGACCTCTTATGGGGAAATGTCAACATTCCAGAAAAGTCTATGGGACGGAAGATATCATCACAGTCATTTTTGGAGAATACAGTGGGCACACACACAGTTTACATATGAACCACACGCAGTGGTTTAATACTTACAGAAAGCAGTGCAATTTTTATTTCAAAGATGAGCTTTGACTTCACCTGTGTTCTCTAGCGTACTGGCAACAATCACATCAGAGACACTGAAAATGATTTCCTTGATTAATGCTTCATTTTTTCAGGTCCGTTTGCTGTTATTAGCCTGATGATTGGTGGTGTGGCTGTTCGATTAGTACCAGATGATATAGTCATTCCGGGAGGAGTAAACGCAACCAACGGTACAGAAGCAAGAGATGCTTTAAGAGTGAAAGTCGCCATGTCTGTGACCTTACTTGCAGGAATCATTCAGGTAAGATTCACAGATGGGGAAATGGGTTCTTGTGTATTCATTTCAGAAATACCTATGGAGCACTCTTGGCTGGTCTACATGGTGAGTAGAGTCAGCCTGCAAGAACCCAGAGCTCAGGGTTCATGGCACTCAGGAACACCAGCCCAACTAACTATATGCCTTACTTGAATGTGCATTCATTAGGAGGTAGCAAGCTTTGGCTGGGTACTTTAGAGATTCCAAAAGCAAGAAAAGCTTGAAGCAGGATTGGTTAGTAATGGGAATAGGGCTTCTCTTATCTGCTTGGAAGGAACAGGAACTGACATTGACAAAACATGTCCCCAGTTCTGAGGGACAGGGAAAGTATGAGTGTGCCCACTGCTCTTTGGGACTCCAAGCCATTCCAAACCTTCCAGTGTTTTTGTACAACCCGTGATTGATTTGTTAACCTCTGAACTGCTACAGGTACAAGTCTGTAGTGTTAGAAAGTATTCTGGAAAGAACTTTCGTAATGTTTCCTGTTGGTTTTAACTTCTCGGTCTATCATGTGATTTATTTGTTTCTTTGTCATTTAAAAAAATAGTTTTGCCTAGGTGTCTGCAGGTTTGGATTTGTGGCCATATATCTCACAGAGCCCTTGGTGCGCGGCTTTACCACGGCAGCAGCTGTGCACGTCTTCACCTCCATGCTAAAATACCTGTTTGGAGTCAAAACAAAGCGGTACAGTGGGATCTTTTCAGTAGTGTATGTAAGTAAGCAACTTACTGGTACTAGTTTTTCCTTCTTTATTTCCCTCCTTCTCTTCTGTATCTCTTTCACCTTCAAAGCCCACTTTTCTTTTTTTCTAAAAATGGTAATAAAATGAAAAAGATTCAATTATTCTAAAGCTTTTCTGAAAAGAACACTACAAAAGGAATTAAACCTTAATTTTTATTACTATGTTATTAATGTGTGATACTACCTACCTCACAAGGAAATTTTTGTTAGGTCTTAATTTGGTGGCTACACCTTCACCCTAACTAGCTAAAAAGACAGCTTTTTATTGAGACAGAATTATGTTCTCTTTGGGAACCAACAAATAATTTAAAGGCATTATGGGAGAGCCTATCTCTGTGAAAAACTGCTTACTCATGCAGGCAAAATAAAAGTCTATAAAAGATTTGACTAACATAATTAACTAGTTTAATCTAATAAAATATATATAGACCCTTGCACCTAACTCAGAGAAAATGTAAATTCTTTGTAAACACATAGGGAACAGTGGTAATAACTTAAATGTGAAACTGATTACAAATTCTAAAAATTTAGTATTTTTTTCACTGAGAGTATTATAATTAGAAATCAATAACTACATGTAGCTCTAAAACCCCCATACATTTAGAAACCAAAATAGCTACTTCTAAGTAACCAATGGATAAGGGAAATTTTGAAATAATTAGAACAAAGTGAGAGTTGAAGTACTACATATAAAACTTCTGAGATGCTGCTAAAGCTATTCCTGGACAGGAAGATTGATAGTCTTTGTAAGTATTGATGTGGCAGCCACTGTGCCAGGCACAGTGGTGAGTGAGCAGATGTGGCCCTTGCTCTCTTAGAACTTACAAGTCAATGGGAAAACATAACAAATCATTAATTGTATAAATATGTAATTAGTTACATATTACATTAGATGCTGTGAAGAAAAGGCACTGGCTACTATGAAACTTGAATAGGGAAACCTTTGCATTAGGGGTCTAGGAAAGTGACTTCAAGTCCATTTAAATTGAGTCCTTGATGGATTAGAATGGAATCAAACTGTAGGAACATTCCCCAAATAACTAACTTCTTCATGTCCCATAATAGTGGGTAACATGTCTCTTTCTCTGAGATTTCTCCGAATGCCTTGTCACACAGGAACTAGAACAGTTGAGCACCTGCGTCTGCTGTGAGTGTATGCTGAATAAGCAAGTTGTGTGGCTTGGGCTCAGGGGTGACCTACTATCCCAGAGTCCAGATGAGTATTGACTGGGGTGCTGAGATTGCAACCATAGGAATAATTAAATGGCTTTAACTCTCCTGGGCATCTTTTCAAACTTCAGCACTCTCTTGCCTTCAAAGCTCACATGATTCCTCATTCATCTGCTAACAGTGATTTCACTCTCTCTCAGCTCTTAAAGGCTTTTCTACAAAGCCTTTGGATTGTTTTGCTGGTATCAGCCCCTAATCTTTCCTAATCCTGACTCTTCTGAATTTTATAATACTACATTGACCCATTAGCATATCAAAGAACACTATGAGAATGTTGGATAAGAATTACAACTTTAAAGTTGTATGAATAGGTAAGAATGGCTCCTAACTGGTGGAAGCTACAAAGAGCGAGATTTCAGCCTGAGAACCTTGACTAGCACAGTCCAGTAGTGGGATGGCTGCTGTGAATTAGTGCACAAGAGCATCTCTGTCTCCTCAGAGGCTACTGCTTGATGTAAACTCCCAGTGTTCACTGTGTTACAGAGTACAGTTGCTGTGTTGCAGAATGTTAAAAACCTCAACGTGTGTTCCCTAGGCGTCGGGCTGATGGTTTTTGGTTTGCTGTTGGGTGGCAAGGAGTTTAATGAGAGATTTAAAGAGAAATTGCCGGCACCCATTCCTTTAGAGTTCTTTGCGGTAAGTCAACTTTCAGCTATTTCTGTGAGAGGTGTAGAAGTGGACGGGAGGGACAGGGAGTTAGACCTTTTCCTCTCAGTTCTGCCAAGAGAAGGTTAGAATTTGCAAGGGGGAGCATTTGCAAATACAATGACAAGAAAGAAAAATCATAGAATGGATGATTCTTAAAATATGGGTAAAGACTATTCATAAATATTTTACTGTGAATTGTCTGAGTAATGAGATTAGATAAGATTTTTCTTCCTCAGTATTTTTATTGCCTAGTTATTTTATAATGAACACATATAACTTTAACAACCTGGAAAAAATTAAGCTGTTTCAATTTTGAAAAGAGCAAAAGACGAAAGTTACCAAACTTTCTTGGTTCCTGGCACTCTTAAGCCAAAAGAAATACCTAACAGTTTCATTCAGTGAGTAGTTAGGTTCATACAACTTAATATTTGTCTAACAACTTAGGAACTGTTTATTAAAATAATGCAAATAAATTAAAATAAAATATATACTTATTGCACTGTTAACTAGCCACAATTTATTAGTGGGCTGTGTGCAGCTGATGGGCACTTCACAACCCCTCAAACCTTGGAATCAGATGGTCACCGGTCCCTTCAGCTCCTGCTGACTTTGACTGTGTGGTACCTGCTTTTTATAGCAGCAGCCACTGATGTCCAGCTTTTCAAAGTTATAGTGTGATCAACAGGAATGTAGTAGGAACTGATGTGGAAACTGTGAACTACTTCAAACCAAGGGTCTAACAAATGTCACTGTTTTCCTTGAAAGTTCTGTCCTACAGTGTCCTGGTGAGTTCCCCTTGGCACCCTGGGACACCTTGGTGCATAATTTGGGAACAATAATGATAAAAAGTAAAAAGCATAGGTGTCCAAACCCAAATTTAGCCAAAAGTTCAAGCCACAAAACCTAGGGGCCAATATTATAATTCACGAGGAAGACAGGCCCTTAGATCCTTCCCTGAACTTTGGTCTGCCTACATCCCAACAGGACAGTTTCAAAATCTGGTCTCCCACTGGGGCTGGGCACAGAGCTCCTGCTTCCTCTGGGAGGAGAGCGAGAGGTTCTCAGCAAAGGAGACAGGCAAGCCCTAAATGTGAAGTAAATGACAAAGAATGCCCTTCCTGGCTTGGTTCCTGGCTCTGTCCATTTTCCATTGCCCCTTCATGTTTCCCGGAGCAATGGTTCTCCAGAATTTTATCATTGTAATTACAGTAAACCCATGTTTTTACATTTCTTAGTTAAGTTCTCCTCAGAGCAAGGGAGATAATAAAAAATTAAAAAACATACATTTTGGAGTTTTGCATTCTATTTCATAATATATTTGTGTTGGTAGAAAAGCAGGGTGTAAATTGTTTACTACTGCATCAGGTTGATGCTCCAGAAACTTAAAGCCATATTTATCCTATGGATTTGAATATTCTGGTCCCCAGTGAATGCTCCCCCCATTTCAGATGCACAAATACAATTAAGGATAACAGACATAATTGCCACCGACAAAAAAGGGGCCAGAAGCACCCATGCACTTGGTCTCCAGGCTGCAGTGTCTGATAAGCTTACCTTGACCAGGGCTCCCTGCAGCAGCCACCCTGCAGCCACTCCCTTCCCTGCGCAGCCCGAATTCCTTCTCTCCTCCACAACCCACTCAGGGTTCTGCAGCTATAGTTCCTCAGGAGGAAGAAAATTGTTATCCTTCCTTCTGTTATTTCTCTCTTTTTGTAGCTCACTAAGGATTGTACTTCACTCACTAACTAAATCTATACCCTGACAATCCAGGAAGCCTTATGCCTGTGGGATGGGCACTTTCACTCTGACCCTGATTGAAATGAGAGAAGGCAGCTACAGGGTGTTCTAACCACACACGGTGCTGCTGTGCAGGGAACAGGGTTGGCAGGAGGATGGAAGACCCAGACATAAATTTTATAAGGATCCACTCTCATTGAACCACTCTCACAATACACACTTCAGTGGCCTTTATTCATGCCATGTTATCAGGGATGCATTTCACCTGGCCCACATCAAAGCCAACTCCTGAAAGGTTTTATGGCCTCTTCTGCTTGCAGGCAAGTAGCCAGACACCTCAGCATGGAACAGACCCAAACAGAGAGAAACAAATTCCAGGCCACAAGTAAACTGTAGGATCTATTTTAATTTTGTGGGGAGAGTCATTAGGAGAACTTAGAGTTGCTGGAAGCTAAATAAAATTCTTCTTTCCAAAACTGAAAGTTAAAGCAAGAGTAGATTTGGCTTGGCTAACAAATTGTTTGAAGCTCATTTTTGTGACATTCGGATTTTCATCTGTAAAGGACACTTGGGTTTGTGTGTGTTTTAGGTGGTAATGGGAACTGGCATTTCAGCTGGGTTTAGCTTGCATGAGTCGTACAATGTGGACGTCGTTGGGACACTTCCTCTGGGGTAGGAAAATAGTTTTAAGTAACAGTATGACTTGAATAACATCTATTATGGTATCTAACTCCTGCTTTAGTATTCTTGCAGTGAAAAAACCTTTTTTTCTACATATCACATAGCTGAGAGTTTGGGAGTGGGGTTTGGTGGTTTTTGTTGTGTATTTGTTTTTTAGTGTGTGCATGCATGGGTTGTTTTTTCTTTTATTCTGATAAAAAACATAAAATTTACCATTTAATCATTTTTAAATGTACAGTTCAGTAGTGTTATGTATATTCATAGTACTGAGAAACAGACCTCTGAAACCTTTTCATCCTGTAAGTCTGAATCTCCCTGCCCCTGTCCCTGGCAACCACCATTCTACTTGTTGTCTTTAGGAATCTGACTACTATAAGGTACCTCATATAAGGGGAATCATATAGCATTTGTCATTTTTGTGACTGGCTTATTTATTTTAGCTTAATGTCCTCAAAGTTCTTCCATGTAGTAGCATGTAACAGGATTTTCTTCCTTTTAAACCTGAATAAAAGTAAACTATGTATGTACCAATGTCTGTTTATCCATTCATCATCAGTGGAGAGTTGTGTTGCCTCCACCTCTTACCTGTTGTGAATAGTGTTACCATGAACATGAGGGTGCAAATATCTTTTCGAGACCCTGCTTTCAGTTCTTTTGGATGTATATCCAGGAGTGAGATTGCCAGATCGTGCAATAGTCCTATGTTTAACTTTGTGAGGAACCTCCAGGCACTGTTTTCCATAGTGGCTGTACCATCGTACACTCCCACCAGCAGTATCATGTGGTGTTCTGTCTTGTTTTGTTTCCTGTTGTTTACACGTGTTGGTTTTTTAAATCTCTCCTTGAGTGACTAGGAATTAAGAACAAATCTAAATCTAGATTTAGATTTAATCTAAACCTAAATCTAGCCTGCCACTTTCTAGCTGTGTGACCTTGGGCTAGTCACCTATCCCCTCAAAGCCTCAGCTTCCTCTCCTGCCAGGAGAGCATGGTAATTAGTACCTATCTCAAGGGCCATGGAGAGAGCTTCAGGACTAACATGCCCACAGCAGTGAGTGTAGCACCTGACTCCCTCTGTAGTGTTTGAGACACAGTAATTGAAAGTTCTGTGGCTCATCTTTTCTAGTTTCAAATCATATCTTGCTTCTTGCTTCATTTTTTTTCTTTTCTCTAACTCTTTACATTTTGTACTATTCTCTTTATTTGAAGGACAAGAGTGACTGAGCCTCTCCTGGTCTCACTCTGTTCCTCTCACACACTCTGCCTGTATCTGTCTCTCTCTGTCTCTGTCTCTCTCCTATACTATCTCTCTTGCCACCCTCTTCTCTTTCCAAAACAACCAAGTCAAATATTTGCCCAGATGTTGTACACTGGCAGAACCTGGCATATGCCATCAGACCTTGCCTCCACTCCCACCTAAGATTCTTGTGGGAAGTACAGGGGGTAGGAGTTGCTCTTAAGAAAAAGTTCACCCCCCAGTGCAAGTGTTGACGAAGGAAGCATGCACCCTACTTCAAAACAATAAATTGCTATCATGAACATGTTGCTTATGATTCAACTTAAAGGTAGAACATGGTATAGTAATGCTTGCTTTTCTATTTGGACTTGTAATTATCTCAGTTGCTGCTCACAATAACACTACTGACAAATATATACATTATCCCCATTTTACTGAGAAGAAAGTTTATTTATTCTCATTTATTCTGCTTGTGTTTATTGAGTATCTATTAATATGCCAGGGTCACAGCAGTTAAAAGCAAAAGCAAACATATAAGCAAAAAAGCCTTTGTTCTCATGGAGTTTATTCTACTAGAGGAGAGAGACAAGCAAATAGTAAGGAGAGCCATGAAGAAAAGGGAAGCCAGGTAAGGGATAGGAGGGGCTGGGGTTGCTGTTCTCAGTAGAGTATCAGAGAAGGCGACATTTGAGAGACATGAATGAGGTTTAGTAACTTGCAGTGAGTCCCAGCCTGGACCCAGAACTCAGTCTCCAATACCCAGTTGTGTGCACTTTCCATTACCTCACACCTGAGTCACAACATAATCAGTCATGTGATAAACATTGGTCTGTGACTGGATCCAGGAGATAATCTTACTGAATAACCAACCACAAATAATTTGAATAAATTATTTGAATGTTTACACTTAGACTTCTTTTAAAAATCCACATGACGCCATAATTTCTATCTAATTCTTTCCCTATTGCATTATACCCAAACATGCTTTTTCTTCTAAAAGAGCTAAGTTGGGTTTTTTAAAAAAAAAATAATATTTTATGTTTCTGAAACTTGGCTACTCAGAAAGCTTATCTTTCTGGAATTTTGCCCAAAACCAAGCGGGAAACAAATAATGCCTACCTACCTATCTACATACAGGGTGGGCAAAAGATGGTTTACAGTTGTTCATATGGGAAAATATATAATAATTAATAAATGATAATACAAGAATAAACTGTTTTGCCTGCCCACAACTGTAAACCTAAACCTACTTTTACCCCACCCTATATAACCATACTGTTTCAGTTATCTGTGAGTCTTATTGCCAAATAACAAATAGCTCCAAAGCAGTGGCTTCCAGCAGCAATTTATTTGCTCACAATTCATCAATCTAGGTAGAGCTCACCTGTGTGGTTTTTCTGGTCTCATGCAGCTGTAAGTTTCTGAAGGTGTGACTGGAGGATCCAAGAGGGCTTTGCTCCATGTCTGAACCCTCAGCCAGCAGTCTGGAACTGCTGAGGGCTGGCTGGCATCTTCTCTCCACATGCTGTCTCCAGCAGGATAGACAAACTCTTTCCATGGTGGCTCAGGGCAGGACAGAAAAGCAGAAGCCACCTGGCCTCTTAAAGCACTCACACAACTTCACTTTCTCCACATTATCTCAGTCAAAGCAAATTGCAAGTTTCAGCCAGAGGGGAGACAGATTCCACCTCTACGTGGGAAAGCAGTACATACAAGAATGAGAGGAATTGTTGGTCATATTTGAGAGCAAACTACCACACTTACTAGTGACGCACACATAAATATATACACAATAGTGTCCCGAAAGTGACAGTTGACTAGTAAAGATCCCAGTTGTGGCAATATATCCTGTTTCTTGGTTAACTTTCCTTAACTCATTCCAAAATAAATCCTCTTCTCAAATTCTTATTCCTCAGACCCAAAGCTGCTTCTAGGCCTTCCCTTTTGGTTCACTTATATAGCAAAGTGAAAGGGAAATACCTGTTTTATAGTCAGATATCCCCCTGGGTTTGACTCCATGCCCCATCTTGGGCAAATTACTTGACATCTGTAATCATTCATTTTTTTTCACCTATAAACTGGGATAATAATGGTACCTATCTAATAGGATTGCTTTGAGGACATATGAGATGACATTAGTCAAGCATGCAACACATAATCCAGGCTGTATATATGTTAAGTTTCTTTCCTCTCTCCCTCTCCCTTTCCTTTTTCTCCAGAACTTGAGACATCCCCTTTTGTCACTGTGATATGACATAGTAAGAGAAATAGGCACAGGGAGGTGGGTTTTTTATGGTTTTTGTTTATTCAGTTGATGAGTTGTTTGACCTTGAGCAAGTTGCTTTACCTTACTATGCCTCATTTTTCCCATCTGTAAAATGGCCATTACAATGGTGCCTACCTCACAGGGCCTACCTCACAGAACTTGGCACAGAGGAAACAACAAATAAGTGACTGTTATTGTAAGAATAATAATATTGTGTATCAATTAATTGAATGTTGTTATTGTTATTAGTTAGCCCAGTGCCTTGAATTGGAGCAAGTAGCTTTGAAAACCTCTATTGCTCTCTCCCCCAGACCATTCTAGGGAATCCCTATTCTTTTCTTTTAGAACAAAGTTTCCAACCCATAAGAATGGACCACAAAAATAAGGTTGCCTGTTGTGGGGCTTCAGGAGTCACACTTTTGGCTCCTTCAGACTCCCAGGATTCCCAGGTGAGACCCAAGGAGTACAATTTGCTGCTGCTCCTTTCCCATGTTAGAAACTCACCTGGGATCCTGGGAAGAAGCAGAGCCCTTATGTGAAATAACAAGGGAGGGCAGTGAGTGCCTGCTGTTGCTCAGACAGTACTTCTCCTCTGAGATAAACCTTGTCCAACACCCTCCCTGCCCTCAGACTTTGGTTCAAATGTCTCATGGCATCAAACACTCCACTGACCCTCTCTTCTTCCTGTTCTGTGTCTTACTTACACCTACCATACAGGTGCCACAAGGTGTAAGGTTACTCTTTTTCTAAATAAACCAGCATCTGATCTCTGCTGATAACCCATTCACCTGGTACCTGGGGTTGGGGCCTGGAAAGAACCTCTGTGTGTCCAGGAGAGCCCTTCTTTTTGCCAAACTAGAGCAAACAAATATTCAAGCATTGATCATGTCCTTTGCAAATGATTCCCCTCTAACATGCTCCCCTGTAGTTGCATGTTTTTTCCCCAGTGGCCACAGCACTGGTGATAAATTCCACTTGATCTCTCAGGCTACTACCTCCAGCCAATCCAGACACCAGCCTCTTCCATCTCGTGTACGTGGATGCCATCGCCATAGCCATTGTTGGGTTTTCAGTGACCATCTCAATGGCCAAGACCCTGGGAAATAAACATGGCTACCAGGTTGATGGAAATCAGGTAAAAGCCATTAATTTCCTGTAGCTGTTTCATAGTGATACAGTCATCATGCTCTGCTATGCAAGGCAGATGAACTTGATTTCTCTGTCGTGGTAGAAAAATTTGTAAGCTTGATAATGGATATATTTGAAGCATGAATTTATTCAACACTACAATTTTTTATAACTTATGTGCATTTGATCATCAGAACACTGAGGTACAGAGTCCAACCTCACCTCACAGGCAGAGGTCAGCTAAACAGGTGAAATCTCCAGTCTGAGGCTTTCAGTTTACCATACTCCTATTGATGTTATCACTATTATTTTTGCTTTTTATTTTTAGTTGTATGTTTCCATTATGGTTGTCATTCAATAGATGATATCACTTCTTAAAGCTCACAGATTGAGAATAAAATATTTTCCCAGAACCATTTTTACTCCATAGGAAAGCTTCTCTTTGGTCATTAAGCTTGGAGTATGTGATTCATAACTCACACTCCACAGTAGATTCTTTGTCACTGTCTTTTATAACATAGCTACAGGTGAGGTATTTAAACAAACATGCTGTGTGTTTCTAAGAGGAACCTAGATACTCCTCATTTGTGTGACACACAGTGACCCAACCAGGACAACCAGAAGTGGTCCTCAGAGCAGGGCTAACTCACTGTCCCAGGAGGACACTGGCATGGACTCCTAGCTGAGCAAGATCCAGGCATTCAAAAGATGTCAGTACTGTATACCATAATCCTATATGCCTTTCATTTAAACAACAAAAATATTTTGTCTCTTTTGTTGTAGTTTTTTTTTAAGCATTATTTATTTGTGTAGAGAGCATTTGGGAAAGAGGGGACTGAGCACAGCATTTATCTCCAACATTAAAAATTCAAAGTGCTTCACTGCCCTTTAAATTGTGTAATAATTCCTATATTGAGCTCATACTAAACAAATTCTTATATCTGAAAAGAGAATGAAGAAACAGCCTACACTGCTGAAAATGTGTATTATATGGGCCATCACACCTATCTTTGTAAGGAATAACTGATTTCTTTTGTGCTTTGTTTCCATGTGGAAAAGGAGCTCATTGCACTGGGACTGTGCAATTCCATCGGTTCACTCTTCCAGACTTTCGCAATTTCATGCTCCTTGTCTCGGAGCCTTGTTCAGGAGGGAACTGGAGGGAAGACACAGGTATGTATACCACTCGCCTCTCAGGATTTGGGTGGTAATTACATTTTAATGCCTTGGTTCTAGTCTGACCCCCAAGGTACTCTGCCTGAAGATCCATGCTCCAGTGAGCTGCATGGTGAATCAGAGGAAGGTATGATTGATTAAAGCAAATCATAAGGAGCTAAGTCTATAGGAAAGAGGTCTGCTGTCCAGTTAAATAAAAAAAATTATACTTGCTACCAGTCAACCTCCAAGTTGAGACCTAGGATGTTAGCATGAAAGCCTGGGAACAGGAATCTTCTGTGTCAATGGAACATTCTGCATTGATGGAAATATTCAATATTTGCACCATCCAATATAGCAGCCATGATCCACATGTAGCTCTCAAACACTTAAAATGTGGCTAGTGCAGCCAAGACCTGAATTTTAAGTTCATTTAATTTTAATTTTTTAAATGTAAATACTACATATGGCTAGTAGCCACCACACTGGACAGCACAGTCTTGTCTGTAGTCTTCTGACCCTTGCGGGTCTCAGATCAGCACCAGACATCTTTTTCCAATTCCTGGCAAGAACATTTCAGTCAGGGTGTTTAAACATTTCAGCTCCTGTTTAAAAGCTGTAAGAGGAACTAGAACTTTGGAGAAGTGGGAAAAACTTACAGGTTTATGTAATGGTTTGGATGACTTGTTTGAATCCATATTTTCTTTTTTTTTTAAGATTTTATTTACTTATTTTTAGAGAGGGAAGGGAGGGAGAGAGAGAGAGAGAGAGTAGCTCATGGCCTGCAACCCAGGCATGTACCCTGGCTGGGAATCGAACCTGGGACATTTTGGTTCACAGCCCACGCTCAATCCACTGAGCTACGCCAGCCAGAGCAGAATCCATATTTTCTTGATTGTCCCACACTGATTATCAAAAGACTCAGATCAACCTATCCCAGCCTCTTACTCGTCTCATAAAAGCTCCTTCCATGTCTTTTCTTACTCAGCTTGCAGGTTGTTTGGCCTCGTTAATGATTCTGATGGTCATATTAGCCACGGGATTCCTCTTTGAATCATTACCCCAGGTGTGTAGCTTGGACTTTGTGTAAGATTTTCCATGTGTACAGATTTTGCTATATTATTTGTTTATATTTTGGGGAGCTGTCTCATGGGTTTTTACTGTAACCCTAGCAGGGTGGTTTGAAAAAGGTCCAAGGCTAAAACCAAGATCCTGCTCCAAAATCTCCTGATCCCTGGGACCTTGGGAAAGCCATCTCAGCATCTCTGAGTTGCAGATAAACTGTTGACTGGCTAATCTCCAAGGTCCCTTCTCTCTTTGATCTTCTCTGACCTTATACTTCCATTTAAAATCTGATATAGCCTACACCCATAAAACATTGTTTTACTGATGTATTTAATCTAGTAGAGATTAAAAACAATATAGAAAAATCATAATATAGAAAGACCATGGGTGAAATAATTCCTTGAATACCAAGTTTAATTCTGAACCTCTTGACTACCATGCAGGTTTGCTGCTAGAATATAAGCCTGGTTTTCCAAGGCCCATTTTAGCTAATCAAGTCCTGAAAATCCAGGTGTGCATGACTCCAAATGTACCATCACTGCCGCATAGGAAGTGAGTGGGGAGAGGACGTGGGAGGGCAGCAGGAGGACAGTGAGGAGCCAGCAAAGGGAGTTCTTGGACACAAGAGGAGAGGCAAGCATGGATGTGCTGTATTTCAGGCTGTGCTGTCTGCCATTGTGATCGTCAACCTGAAAGGAATGTTTATGCAATTCTCAGATCTCCCCTTTTTCTGGAGAACCAGCAAAATAGAGCTGGTAAGTAACAAAGGTCACTATTAAGTGAATATGTCATAGCCAACATATGGATTAGTACTAATAAAAATATGAGAGACGTAGGTTAGTGCAGTCAGTTGTTATATGCAGTATCCAGTTAGGCAAAGTTAGGTACCATGTATGTACGTGTGCGTGAGTGTGTGTAACTCTAGGAAGTTTTTAGCTGGATTTTACATAAAGCTTTCTGTCTTTTGTTCAGACCATCTGGCTTACCACTTTTGTTTCTTCCTTGTTCCTGGGATTGGACTATGGTTTAATTACTGCTGTGATCATCGCACTGATGACTGTGATTTACAGGACACAGAGGTGAGTGCACAGATTGGGATGGGTGTGAGTGTCCTGCCTGAGATGGCAGTGTTGACTTTAAATGTACTTGTCGACAGACTGTGAGTGTCTTGACTGTGGAGGCATGCTCCTGGAGTCCAGGATCAGGCACATGGTGTGTTCTCTGAATGCTCATTGAGAGAATCCACCCAGAAAATCATCTAATATTTGTATTGTATATTCTAACTCACAAAGAAGCACTTGCATCTACATGCTAAGAAGCACCAAGACATAGTACAAGACCATGGAATGTTGAATCAAAGGCCTTAAGACATATTCTGGCTCTCAAAGATTTCTGACCTTGAACAACTCACTGAACCTCACTGGGCCTCAATTTCTCAAACAAAACTTAAGAAAACTTCTTTGGTAACTAGAGATTTTCGTTTTCTCCCCACCCACATCAGAGGCTCTTAGAAACAAAAAGAAAACCTCTTTTTCTACTTTAGAATTAGAGTAAGAAGACAGTTCTACCTGAGAACTGAGTGGAATGAGAACTTGAATTATGTGTGGCATGACTTGAACTCTGCACGATTCATTTTTGCCCTTATCTTTAAATGCCCGAGTCTTTTTTTTTTTAATTTTTTTTTAATTTATTCATTTTAGAGAGGGAAGGGAGGGGGGGAGAGAGAGAGAGAGAGAGAGAGAGAAACATTAATGTATGGTTGCTAGGGGTTATGGCCTGCAACCCAGGAATGTACCCCGGCTGGGAATCGAACCTGGGACACTTTGGTTCCCAGCCCGCGTTCAATCCACTGAGCTACGCCAGCCAGGGCTCAAATGCCCGAGTCTTTTGTCCTGATTGGGTCATTGGTGTGGTATGGTGTATACATGTGTAGTTGTATGGTATGAGCATGCAATTGCATTGTGTATTGTGTGTATGTGGAGGTTGTGTGTCGTATGTAGTGTATGTGTGGTATGATATGAGATGTGTTTGCTATATGGGTGAATCGTGTATGTTGTGGTTGAGGTGAAGGGTGTGTGTGGTGTGAGGTGTGTGGGAAGTGTGAGGCTTGGAATGGCACAGGGAACATGACGTATGTGGAGCCCTTCTGCAAAGGCACTGTATAGGGATCAAATATTCCTGAATTTACTAGCAAATCCATACATGAAATGTGCAAAACCTCATGTTTCAATTACATACTGGGTCTCAACACAATGCTATATTTTAACACACTCACTCTCTATCTTCAGTCCAAGCTACAAAGTCCTTGGACAGCTTCCTGACACAGATGTGTATATTGATATAGATGCATATGAGGAGGTAAGACCTTTTCTGTCATTTTAAATGGTTGTAAGCTGTGAGCATGTGCTGTAATTGGCTAAGTAATTTTATTTTTTACCTAGGACAAAAAGTGGGAGTGAAAAGAAGGGAGGTGTAGTGGTCAAAGTGAAAAACTTGAAAAACTTACTGCCTGGATTCAGTTTTGTAGTTTGTACTATACCATACATTAATTACTCAACCTCCTAATATTTATTTTTTCTCTTTTTAAAATGAGGCCAAGTATTTATTGTTTGAATTAAAGTATATATTTGCAAAATTCTGAAACTGAGAGGATAGTTTGTATGTGCGTGATTTTTTTCTGGTGAATTTAAGCTGATGGTAAAATATTAATACTAACATGTAAAATATAGATTTTGGGCTATGAAATTCTCCCACTTCATTTTGAATGGTTAAATTTAGGGCTTAAAATTTCCTTGATTTTTGAATGTTCTTTTCTTATGTGGAATCTCAAAGACTTTTATAGAATCTTTTAAAACTAGTTTTATCTATTTGTTTTGTTTCCTGCTTGGGAAGAAATTCTCAGATTCACTATAAGGTATTAGGAAATGAGATTGGTGTTAGGATTACTGTCTTCTCCTCCTTCCAAAGAACTATAACTATATGCTGAATTACTTGTTTCCAAACTGCATTCTAGAGTTTGAGGCTTCTTGATAAAATATTCACTCTATTTCACTTGGGTTCATTTCGATTCCTGCCTGCATTCCATGAATGAACCAATACAAACCTGTGTTCACTTTATTTGCCTGCTTCCCACAGTCTAAATATTTTTCAGTCCCTTTTCTTTGTGTTTTACAGTAAAAATGAAACACAGGAAAATTCTTAAATGGGAAGATGTGCATTTTTAAAGGATTTCTTCTCAGTACTCCTTCCTCCAGAGCATGAGTAGAGTGATATTATTTTATCCAAACAATATTAAGAGGGCCCTTAGCAACCTCTGCATGAATTTTCAAGTTGGAAGCAGGAGGCAACTCCAGTTTTGATTCTGAAATATTTCCATGTGTTAAATTCACTAACATTTTGTTTCTCAGGTGAAAGAAATTCCTGGAATAAAAATATTCCAAATAAATGCCCCAATTTATTATGCAAATAGTGACTTGTATAGCAGTGCATTAAAAAGAAAGGTGAGTCACAAGATATTAATTTTTTTTAAGATTTTATTTATTTATTTTTAGAGAGGGAAGGGAGGGAGGGGGAGAGAGAGAGAGAGAGAGAGAGAGAGACATCAATGTGCGGTTGCTGGGGGCTGTGGCCTGCAACCCAGGAATGTAGCCTGGCTGGGAATCGAACCTGGGACATTTTGGTTCCCAGCCCGCACTCAATCCACTGAGCTATGCCATCCAGGGCCACAAGATATTAATTTTATACTATTTCTCTCTATATACATGTATACGTAACCTTTTAAAAACATTTTTAAGAAAAAGAAGTGAAAAAATAATTTTAGATTTCTTCTTTTGAGATCATATGGGTTCCTTTGGTCATGATTAGAACTCAGCCTCACACTGCCCAGTATATACAGGAAAACCTCACAGTCAACCCACAGTCTCTTACATATCTCTCAGAACCTAAGAAATCTAATTTTGAAAAATACTACTTTAAGTTCTCTTTAATACTTTAGCTTCAGGTTGTCTTGAATCAAGACCAGGAATAAGAAAGGGTACTAATGGTCTTTTAAAGGAGTCACTCAGCTTAGGGGACCTGAGGGCAAAGTAGAGGAAGGGTTGGGGGGATAACCTGGGATAGAAAACCATCAAATGGGAGGGGGGGATTTAAAGATTAATCGCATTTGCATGAGTTCCTGGAAGCCAAGAAGTGTTTTTGCATGATTGTTTTTCTGTAAAGACTGGAGTGAACCCAGCCCTTATCATGGGAGCAAGAAGAAAGGCCATGAAGAAGTATGCTAAGGAGGTCGGGAATGCAAACATGGTCAATGCGACCGTCATCAAAGCAGTGAGTGATCTCTTCATTGTACTTTTCCTTCTTCCCAATCCACAGTGACCCCCACCTTTATTCAAGATTGAAGTTATAACACAGCATGAAGTCCCTAAGATAGGAAACTTTAGAAACAATATAGCTATCCTTCATGTATTAAAGATGCATGATAAGCTTAGTAATGAGAATGCTTCTGAAATAAGTAGTGATATGGGACCAGGAAAACATTGTTCTAAAAAATAAAAATCACACAGTACCTTAATAAATTTTATCATTAGTACCTTGTCATGGATTCATTCAGCTTACAGCAAAAGAACTCAAAGGCTGATTTTTACTGTTCATAAAGGCTTATGTAACTTATAGTCCATCATGCTGAACTTAACGGAATTATTTTAGAAGCTATGGGGAAATATATATAACTAAGGAGAGTGGATTTCACTGGACAAAAAAAGGGAAGAAAAGAAACAGAGCTAAAATTGAATATTATATACACATCTTTTTTGGTCACATTACAAGGCTGGGATATGGCAAATATTTTAGAAAAGATCTGATATAATCAATAGCCTAAGACTCTATGGACTGATTTTTTTTTTATAACTCTCAGAACCAAAATGTGATTTGTTCATAGAATTCTGGTATGATTTTTGGCATAGGATGCAGAAGTCGATGGAGAAGATGGTACAAAGCCTGAAGGAGAAGATGAAGAAATCAAGTACCCCCCAATAGTCATCAAGAGCACCTTCCCTGAAGAGCTACAGAGGTTCATGCCCCCTGGGGAAAATGTCCACACCGTCATTCTGGACTTCACACAAGTCAATTTTATTGATTCCGTTGGTGTAAAAACTCTGGCAGGGGTAAGCATCAGTGTGAACAAGTCATTTAAAATCTCTGTATCCAGTTTTGCCATCAGTAAAATCAGAGTTGAACTAGGGTCCCTTTCCAACTCTTAAAATTTCTTTTTTTTTTTTCAACTTTTGATTATGGAAAATTTCAAAAATATTCAAAAGTAAAAAGTATAGTATAATGAATATCCTCATGTAATTATTACTCAGCTTCAATAATTATCAATTTATGATTAATCTGATTTCACTCATGCCCCATGCCCATTTTCCCCTTCTCTTATTTTGAAGCACATGCCAGTCAACACATCATCTGTAAATAATTCAGTATATATTTCTACAAGAAGATTTTTAAAGTCATTTTTATTATACATTTATTACACATAAAGTTTAACATGAATTTTTTGATATCTCTAATTATAACTGTCCATATAAAAACAAAAGAAATAAACTATCATTTTTAAATGATTAGCTAAAAAATGCATAATTATTGAAGCAAAGTAGTTCAAGTGAATGTACTAGAATGTCTTATGTCAGTGAAATACATATTGGTAAGAAGAGACTTGTATCTGGCAGTCAAGAGAAACTAAACTTTATTTCAACATTATTACAGATTGTAAAAGAATATGGAGATGTCGGTATTTATGTGTATTTAGCAGGATGCAGTGGTAAGTACACTTGTAGAATGAGGAGAAATAGTAATATTTTTATTTTTGTTTCTCTTTTTTTTAGGAAATATTTCCCCTCAATTTTGGTTTTTGGTGAAAATGAAATTTTTTCTTCTGAAAATCACTCTAAAGCTAGCCTTGAAATTAGCCACATCCAGGAACTCCTATCACTGAGCTACTAGTGGCAGGCCTCCTGAACTGGAGTTGGTGAAAAGGAACTAACAAACCATTGTTCTGGGCTGATATATTTTTCAGTAATTATTTAATGGCTGCCATAAACATAGTTATATAAGATCATTTAGGTTTTTACATGCAATGTCTGCTGTTTTTTTATATTAAATTTTTGTGAAAACAGTGTTTGAAAATGAACTGCTTGACAGCATGCTCTGTAGGCACTCTGACCTTGCTGGTGTGCCTAATGAAACAGCCCCTATAGAGACTTTCCACATCGTAAATGCATTTGCCTTTTAACCCAGAGAATCCAGCAATGTGCTACACACATTCAAATGAAACACATACCGGTAGTCATCACAGTACTGTCTATAAAAACAAAAGACTGGAAACACTCAACTATCACACAAAAGGGGCCAATTAAATTAACTAGGCTACACCTACAAGATCAAATACCATGTAGTCATAAAAAAAATTAAGTGAAAAAATTAAATGTTTCAGAATAATATAAATTCAGAATAATATAAATAGTGTGCTTTCTTTTGGGTAAGAAAAGGGCAAAAATAAGAATATTTGTTTATATATTTACTTATATTTGCATAAATACATACTGGAAGAACACACAAGAAAATAATAAAAGTAGCTTCCTGCAACTGGGGGTGTGATGTCATGGGTACAAGAATTGGAGTGAGACTTTTTATTGTATCATTTTAATACTTAAACTGTATTAAAGTGTTACTTTTTTAAATGTTCAAGATTGATACCCAAAATGTGGACTAATTTTCTTTTCTTCTTTTTTAGCACAAGTTGTGAATGACCTCACACAAAACCTATTTTTTGAAAATCCTGCCTTATGGGAGCTGCTGTTCCACAGCATTCATGATGCAGTTTTAGGGAGCCAACTTCGAGAGGCGCTTGCAGAACAAGAAGCCTTAACTCCTCCACCCCAGGAGGATACAGAGCCCAATGCCACTCCTGAGGCGTGAGGAACTCAGCCTGGGATGGGGTATGAGCCTCTCCTGAAATTACTCATTTACACATTTTAAATACCAGAGAATAGGTTTTTTTTTTTCAAAGGGTAAATACAAGTAGTCAAGGCTTCATTTGGAGGGTGAATGATGCCTAGCAAGATGTATCTTACTTGTGTGTGTGTGTTTTTTAATTTACTACTTCCAAAATATATTGGCCTCTCACCTGCATTTATTGTGCAGTGACAGACATTTCTGTTACTTTTTAGTATTATCTTTGTCAGCCAAGCACTTATTTTTCCTTTTAAGTACCTTACCTACAAATCAGATATGCTGTTGCCAGATGGGTAGTGGTTCCTTGCTTTTGTACTTGCTGGTCTACAGATCTTCTGTAACTGAAGTTAACAAACAGTAGTGGCATACCCACAGTTTTCTGGAAGTTCTTTCTAAAACACCATATGTTTTTATAGAAGCAAGGTAAGCACATTACAGAAAAACTAGACTAGCAAAAATAAGAAAATAAAAATATTATATTGCTACCACTCAAGGATTATTGCTAACACCTTAATGTATCCTTTCAGATCTTTATGTATACATATTTACATCTTTTAACCAAAATAAGATCATACTCTACAGTGTCTGTAACCTATTTTTTTTCTCATTCCAGAACATTTTTACCTCAGACCATATTCAAATTTCCCCCACTTGTCCCCAGATTTGTAGTTGATTTGTCCAAACTAGTATCCATTGTGTGACCTTACACCATAACTGGTCATGTCCCTTTAAGTCCCTAAGTGTATCTTACTCTAGCACAGTCCCTTTTGGGATGACATGGACTTGTTAACGAGCCTGGGGCAGTTGTCCTGGAGAATCCCGTACTGGTCATGTATCTATGTGCTTCCTCAAGGTGTTATTTAGCTTGTCCTTTTATTTTCTGAACTACTTGTGATCTAGAAGTTACATCTATAGGCCTCATGGATTTGAATAAAACATTTTTTACTAGAATATATGACAGATGAGACACAGGCTTCAGCCTGCAGCACATCAGAAAAGAACACACTATGTAGTTGACCCTACTAACAGAACAGCCTAATCCCCCAATTGTGTCTTCACCTTTCTGGTTAGTGAGTTATCTGCATGGTGTTCCTTTGGCATGGAATGAATTCCTGGTTTCCCATTAGCCATTCACCTGGGAGTTTTAACATCTAGTGGTACTCTTTGCCTAAATCAGTAAATATTAAGGTTTGTTAATTTTTTTCTCTGATTTTCTTATTTCTTCTGCATTTATTAGTTGATGTTTCTATGTAAATTATTATAGCTTTCCTTCCTCAACTTGAGCTATTTAGTCATCCTTAAATACAGTTCTTACTGGAAAGGCAGATTCGTTTTTTCCATTTAATTATCAAATTCAAAGTAAGAAGTTGGTTTTATAAACAGATGGTGACAAATTAGGTTCTTTTCAATTTCTTTTTTGGTGTAATTATAGACTCATGAGTTTTTATATTTTAATGTGTTTCAGTCTGTTAGTTATTCTATTTGGTGCTAAAATTGTCACAACTGTGACCAGCAGGAGCCCCTAGAAATGTTGCTAATAGTGAAGTAGCCTGAAGACTACGTATTTAAGAAAACTAACTCCATTCCTTAGAAGTCCATAAAAGTTATTTGGTTAACTCTTCATCAAACTCAGTTTTAAGCCTATGAATGAGTAAGATGCTTATTTTCAAGTACTCTTTTTAGTTGTTCCAAAGGAGACCATTAAGACAATTTGTCATCAAAAGTTCTTATTCTTACAATTCTAACAGATCACTCTAATTCAAAGCACAAGTATTAATTGGCTAACCTGCCTAAGGCCTCCCCTGCTAAGATTTCCTGCTAATATTGTTTGCCTTTTTTATATGCTTTTTTCTTCTTTAAAAAAATGTTTTCTTATTGATTCCTTGTTTTAGTGTTCATGAAGAAAACACTGGCAGGAGAAAAGTGGTCACATCCCAGGAAAGCACTGCGCTAGCATAGGTCTACTCAAAACCAAACTCTGTGGTTTGTTTGCTTTAACTCCAGTGAGGTTTCTCATTACTTTACTAATTTAATTCAAAGTAGACCCCTTCTTTCTAATCAATTCTTTACCTAGATATACAGGGAAATTAGATATACATTCAGTTATTTCCTTGGCAATCATCATACACAAGATCCAGTACATCTGCGTTCTAATACAGACTGCCTTCTGAAAGAGCATGTAGTTGTAGAGGCTCAGCTTATACTAGAAACTTTTGTAAAAGGGCCTGCATCATTTCAGCCATTTAGGATTTTAAACAATGTTACAGAATTTTTCATTGTATATCCCTTAGCACCAGCCTTCAACAAATGCTTTACACATAGTGGAGACCCAAGTCCTAGTATTGATAGGTTGAAAGTAGTGTACAAAAAAGTATGTCTATATCTTACAAATTTGTATTTAACTTTTCTTTAATGTTTAGCCTAGTTTGAATAGAATTCTACCATGTACATAAAAAGCCCTGAAGTCTTACTGAAGGGAAATGTTTTTGTTTCAGCATGTTTCTGAGAATCTAAAAACGCACTTCAGAATGTATTTTATCTGTATGTAAATATTTTGGAATGTTTTACTTAGAATTATTTCGTCTAGTGGAAAATTTCCTGGTCTCTTTTTACTTAGTCAAGTTCCGTCTCTACCTTCTATCTGGACTTTAATAGCTGCTAGTGTATGCCTGTGTTTTTCAGCCGATTCAAATTCAGATTCTTGTTGCCCTATCAAAATGGGCATAACACACATCAATCAGTAAACATAGGGACTAGCCCTATTTTATAGTAGTAGGGGACAACCCTGTTTTCAGGAAGGTCCCATATAAACAAATGCTTTGTCTTTCTCATATCCTGCATAATATGACAGTGGTTGATCTCTACCTCATGGAGGGGTGGAATGTTTGAAAACAATGTGAACCAGGGCTCAGGGAACTCCTAGTCATGTCATAGACACTGACTCTGCATAATCATATGGCAGCTGGTAGGGGGATCCCAATTGCCAATCTCATCTGCAGTGGGACTCAAAGATAACAGTTAAAGATCTGAATCCTCTACAAGCCCTGGGAGTAGCTCACTTTGTAGTTTTCAGGTAACATCTCAAATATCCACTCCATGTGGTTTGACCCTGTATCCTTACCTGTTTAACAGAAAGGAGGTACTTGCCTCCAAAGGTACATTGAGAAAATGAGTATGCCCTCCTGTGTGCATGAGGGCAGCAAGCCCAGAGAATCTGCACTGGAGTGGGTAGGTGTGTTTTTCTGTGTTTTAGGGGGTGAGGGTGGGGGGTGTGCCCTTGTGTGGGGATGAGGGAGGGAATGCTATGTGGTGGGGAAGGCTTTATCTACTATGTCTGCCCCTTTAAACATAGTAAATCAATTTAAATTCTAAGATCAAATAAAACTTTAGTGTGAGACTGTATGCTTTAATGAGTGCAAAAAAACTGTTGGTCCTTTTTAGTATACCTTTCAGGAATGCTTAGGATTCAGTATGTTTAGATTCTTGATATGGTTTGAGTGCTGGTAAGAGTAAATATGAGAACTGATAAAAGTACCATCTAATTCTCCAAACCAAAATGCATATAGCCAACCAAAATGCATTCAGTGGTTTTGAAACCCCTCAAATCCCAGTAAAATGTTCAAAAGCTAGCTGCCTGCTTATTGACATGAATGTAATCAAGTTTGAACATCTCACAAATCCATCTTGCCTTTGAAAATGACCCACCAGCTTTTTCATTGTACTGGTATATAGCATTTACTTTGTGAACAGGTGATCCTCATCATTGTGGAAATTAAATTTTTATAAATCTGGTAACATTTTTAAATGTTATATTTTTTAAAGTATCACTGCAGTATTATTTTTCTATTCATAAATCCTTTGTATTATCTATTAGCACTCTGACTGTATAAACATACATATATACATTTTAGCTGGAGTGAGTCACTGGTTAATATATATTTTATCTTCTTAAATATGGTATAGACATACTGATCTATATACTGTTTATGCTATCTGCATATACATGCCTGGGCAGGGACATCTGTTTTTCAATTTATTGTACATCTGATGTGTGGTCAGTTAGCTTTTTGTCATGTACCTAAGTGAGATGTCAAGATTTAGAGCCTATAACATGTCAACTTGAGTGAGGTCAACATATCCAATTTGAGTTGTCTCCAACTGGTGCATATGATGTATGTGACTACATGAAAAACTGGTAAAGAGTGTGTTCTAACTGCTTACATTTATTAAAACATTATAAAAATATACATTATTAATCATTCACTTGAGCATATTTTATTATAAGCAGAACCTACATATGGTTTGGTCTGTTTTATACCTCATGAAAGACTAGGGCACGTTTAGGGAAGAGAAATTTTCTGGTAAGTTTCACAAACATGAAAAACCAAGAGAGTATTGGTTGGATTTTATGAATAAAGGGCTTTAATATTTCAGCTTGAAACTTTCATGTTTTAAATATTTCATTATTATACTTATAGCATTTTCTATGTTGTCAACCTTTAATGAATTTAATGTATACAGCTCTATTTTGCATTACTTACTTATGAATATTGAACTACAATAAAAATATTCTTTATTGTGCCTGGATCTCTATATTTGGAGGGAGGGAATTGTGGTGGTAAAGGGGAGGGGATCTGGTGGTGTTGCACAAGAAATTATTTTAAAGAGATGTTAAGAATTTTAATGCAACTTTTATTAAGAAATGCCTTACTGTAGACCAGTAGTCTAACAGGAGCTTTACCAAAATTTAAACCATTAATTTATAAAATGAAAATAAGTATTTTTCTGTATGAAGCCAATTCCTGATTTTCTGAATTACATTATTATCTGTATATACTTTCCTTTCTGCTTTATTACTTAACTGGTCATTAAAAATCAACAATTCTACCCTGGCTGGTGTAGCTCAGTGGATTGAGCGCGGGCTGCGAACCAAAGTGTCGCGGGTTCGATTCCCAGTCAGGGCACATGCCTGGGTTGCAGGCCACGGCCCCCAACAACCGCACATTGATGTTTCTCTCTCTCTCTTTCTCCCTCCCTTCCCTCTCTAAAAATAAATAAATAAAATCTTTAAAAAAATAATAATAAAATAAAATAAAAATCAACAATTCTTTTTAAATATTTTATTTATTTTTAGAGAGGAGAAGGGAGGGAGAAAGAGGGAGAGAAACATCAATGTGTGGATGTTCCCCATATCCCTGGGTTGCCTGGGGACCTGGCCTGCAACCCAGGCATGTGCCCCGACTGGGAATCGAACCAGCAACCCTTTAGTTCACAGGCCAGCACCCAATCCATTGAGCCACACCAGCCTGAGCTCAACAATTCTTGATTAATTCAAAATCAAGTCAAATAGCAAAGCAAAACATATAATATCAGATGCTTCTTCCCTTTAAAAAATAAGTTTGGCTAAAGCTTTATTATTTAACATGCTAGGGAAAAACTACGAAATGCATGTAGTCATGTGCCTAGATGGGCTATTCTGATGAAGACAGAAGAGCACATTGGTTATGAGCATAGCAGATGGAGCTGACAAACTTCAACTTGAATCCTAGCTCTGCTACAAGTCAATTTGGTAGCAAAAATCTGCATTCATTAGATAAAGGTCTATCAGATCCACCTCTCTGGGCAGATACTAGGAGGATACAATGACATATGTACAGCACCCAACCAATACAAGCCCAAAACATATATGCACTCAGCAAGTACTTTATGATATGGGACACTTAAATGGTAGTAGGTCAAAAAACTGTCTTACATACGCTGTAATAAGCCTTTCTGACCAATGATATTAGATATCACCTATTGTACTACAGAGAAGACATATCTGAAAAGCATATAATTTTGAAACCATTTATTGTTTGTGTGAAATGGTTATTAACAAGTCTATATAAGCTTAGGATTCCAATTAAAAGAAGTATTTCATGAAAGCTTTCAGGGCTTAGTTGTACGTCATATAGCGTGGAGTAGCACTGAATTTGGCATAGGACTTAATGACCTTATTTACAGCCTCCAAGAAATCTTTCTCAGTAGCAATTTTTCTCCGTGCTCTGATGGCAAACATACCAGCTTCTGTGCAGACACTTCTAATCTCAGCACCTTTCAAAAATAAATAAATAAAAAATAAAAAAAATAAAAAAGATAGGCTTAATCAGAGCAGACAGGACAGACAGACCAGCAAATATAGACAAGACCTTTGAACCTACCAGTGCTATTTGGACACAGTCGTGCTAACAACTCAAATCTGATATCTCTTTCAACGCTCATTGAACGTGCATGAATCTTAAAAATGTGAGTCCGACCCTAAAAATAGAGGAATTGAAAAATATTACAATGGAAAACATCACAGGAATAAAAAATTTCAAAAATCCCATTTCTAAAAAGAAATTATTTTCTTACCTCAAGATCAGGTAAGCTAAATTCAATCTTCCTATCCAGTCTCCCTGGCCTCATCAGTGCTGGATCCAAAGTGTCAGGTCTGTTAGTGGCCATGAGCACTTTAATGTTGCCTCGAGGGTCAAAGCCATCCAGCTGATTGATCAATTCCAACATTGTTCTCTGTACTTCATTGTCGCCTCCAGCACCATCATCAAAACGAGCCCCTAAGACAAAAGGAAACACATCCAGTCACAGCAGCACTATACCAACTTGAAAGTACTGCAGTCTTGGCTCACACCATGCCCTCCAGTGCAAGCAAATAGCCAGTTTCAAGTAAATCCTGTAAGAACTGCCCACTTCTCACAAAGCTAGTTAGAAAGTGAATCTTTTAAGACTCATAGATTTATTTAATATAAGCTCCTCTAAAGTAGTTTTAATTATCTTTAAGGAATTTTGTTTCTGAAATCACTCAAGAACACCTCCGTTGTATACCTGGACCAGGCGGCAGAATACACAGAAACTTTAGCACTGGAATATAAAAAACTGCCATACTCTTCTAAATTTCTCAAAACTGTCCCTAAAAATAAGGCTAAATCCGCAATATAGCAGAAATATAACTTACACTATCACACCATTTTGGATATACTAGAGTACTCACTGTTAATCTCAGTCTCTCATTTCAACCAAAATAGCAAAAACAAAACAAAAAACCTCCAAACACACACTTTTATTTTTAAATTGTATATATACAGTTGTATTTATGTATTATATACATTATAACAAAAAATTAAAAATTGAGATTAAGATTAAATATAAAAAAAATTCTATTATTTTTTTCCCACACCCTAATACTGTTTTATACACAACCCACTTAGGAAAGCATAGCTTCAGAGCATCCTGACAGCATGAGGCTTATGGCTTATTCCAACGATACTATAAAAATGACTTCAGAGTCACCACACTGCATCAATACACTGTACTCAAATTAACCACTTAAAGACATTAACTACAGGCGTCCAAGCCCAACACAACCATCCAGTATAAAAGCAAGATTCCAGGTAACATAACCACATTCCCCAAACAGTGTTACAAAGTTCACCATATTTTCAAGTCATTTTTGTCACTAAGTTCATTAAATAACAAATATCTGGACATATATTCTCCAACTGGTAAGGATTATTACTTTCACAGACTGAAACAACAATGAAGACCCATAGAGCAGTTTAGTTTTCAAAGTCTATCACATTTATTACTTAAAGCTCTCAAAAACCCATGAAATAAACAGGGCAAGAATCATCATACCCTTTATAAGATGAGCTAACTGAGGTTCAGAGTTAGTTATAATAACTTGTCTAGATCACACAAGATAATATGTATTTCATCAGATCTATGAAGCTAACAGTAACATTATTTTTCGTACACTTTATAAAATACCACCACCAATGGAATTGTTAAAATGTGTCATATGAGTGATAATAAAGTACAAAGGTAAAGACTTTGAGAAACAGCAATGTTATGTAACATTTCTTTCTTCCTTTATGGTATAGCCCTACTGTTTATTAGATTTGTGGCTCCAATGTGGCAGAGCTCATAGAAGAGTTGGAATTAAAAGTTGTACAAGTTGAACATATTAGGAGAACTCTACACATACTACTTTAGGGCTCTCATGAAACCCAACCCTAAAATAGCTCTCTAAAATACCATCCATACCTCCAATAGCATCAATTTCATCAAAGAAGATAAGGCAGGCTTTTTTTGTTCTGGCCATTTCAAAGAGCTCTCGAACCATCCGCGCCCCCTAATGAGAAAAATAATTTAATTCACAGTTGGTTTCTAAGTCTTTTAAAAATATAATAAGATAAACTTCAAACTTTTCAATATTCCTAATGGTATTCTCAAACATTATTACCTAAGGCTTTTTCAAAAAAAACTGAAGTTTATTACCTATTCCATTAAACTGTACTTATTAGCCTTAAATTAAATAGTCATAACTGTAAGACCTGAAGAGATTAAATTAACACTATTGAAATAAAGGCACCATTTCAATCAGTAACACTTGAGTAACTAAAAGCATTTGATTTATCCCGTGGCATTCCTAATCACCAAATTTGATATGTAAGTGTTGCTCAGGGGATAAAAGTACTCTGTATCTCAATTCGTGCAACCCTTTTCTAATTCTTATTTTAAGTATACTAATCATTAATGCTTCAGGCACTATATATACAGCACTAGACTTACTTTATATTGAAAAAAATCTGTGTGTGCGTACACAGTTGTACATGTGCAGATAGATACTCTTCTATGTTCTCTCTTTCTCAGGGGACCATAAAAGGCTGGCCCTAAAGTGAACATACACTTTTGAATGCATTCACCAGGCATTTCTGGGGTATTTCTCTTGCAAACTCAATCCACAAGAAATGTCATCTTTCTGAGTAGGGAGCATGGTGATTAAAAATGTTAAGCAGTTGTTTATTTATAAATTTAAGAGAAGGCTGGTGGCTTCTACACTACTAATTACAATCC